AAAGAATAAACCAGTTTTATTTAAGTAAGGACTTGTGTCGCTAAAGTTTCGTCGGAAAGAAGTTACGGAAAATCAACTAACGAACGGAGACGTAACAATATTCATCATGCTTATGTTAATAAATGTATGAGTAAACACAGATAATTTTGTTTTCGCTTATACGCATATTTCTAGTTCCAAAACGAGGCTTACTTGCTATGACGTCACAATTGTTGTATTTGTTCAGTTTAGTACACTATCTGATAAGAAAATTCAAGCGAGTTTCTAAATATGGAATACACATTGTGTAACAGTAACATTGTATAACAAGCGAGTTTCTAAATATAGAACATACATTGTGTAACAGTAACATTGTATAACAAGTGAGTTTATAAATATAGAACATACATTGTGTAAAAGTAACATTGTATAACAAGCGAGCTTATAAATATAGAACATGCATTGTGTAACAGTAACATTGTATAACAAGTGAGTTTATAAATATAGTAAATAATTGTTAAATTTAGTAATTGAATATAACTTATACAATGTTACTGTTACACAATGTATGTTCTATATTTAGAAACTCGCTTGTTATACTTTGCTTCAATGTATATCATGAAATATTTCCTGCTTTAATAAATTTTGTATTTCTCTAAAGCTATACATACAGTATTTTACCGAACGAAAAATTAAAAATCTTTAAGAACGAAGAAACAGGAAAAACGAAACAGTAACACAGAACGACTCCCGCATAACTTAAACGTTGTACTGATTAATCAGTCATGCGGGGATTCCCATGTTGGGAGGATATACGAAACCTGCTGTTTCTATTATCTTCCCATGTTACTGCTACCCACATATTCTTCGATAAAACAAATAATACAAGCTACCCGATCTGTTAATTTGTTTCAGTGTGGCATGACAGCGCTTTTGATATGATAGTGGTTTATGTTGGACTGTCCACGCACTAACAGCACGTGACCTGGATTACTTTCCCCAATAGTATAAAAGCTTATGAGCTACATAAAATCCCTCAAAGGTGTCTCTCAGAAGATCAGACCTATAAACATCATGCTAACCTTTGATTTGCTGATAATTTTCTTCTCCTGTTCGATGGTTTATTCTATTCCTCGGAGTAGATTTCGTCAACTGCCAGGTATTTTAGAACGTCTCTTTTCTGAAATTGTTAAATTGTCATTATCAAGCTTCTCTAATGACATTAATCAGATGACAAACGTATAAATATGTGGTGAATCAAAGAATAAATTAGGCATCTACGTCATCTTTCCTTCACCATTTACAAATACTGACGTACTCCCAAATTAAATACAAAAATCTAAATATTTCTCGTTAGTAGGCTTAGCTTTAGCTTCAAGTTTTGGAATACCTTTGTATTATCTGGACAAATTTAGGCTGTCAGTACATTTATTTATTTACTACTCACCAAAATTAACCTTTAAAGAATGTGCACGTAAATCTTTAAGCTCAATGTTTGCAACAATTTGCCTTACACATTACGTTTGTTGCTATAGTAACGTCCTGTGTTACTTCTTAGCTGCATCTATTATGCTGTGTCAATTAGAATGCTTAACAGTTATTTTTTCAGCATGAAATTGTTTTTTGACCTCCTAGAAACTTGTTACTTATTTTTTTTTGTTAAACACAAAGCTGCACAATGGGATATGTGCTGTGTCCGCAACTGAAATCGAACCCTGAATTTTATTGTTATGAAACCCCAAACTTATCGCTAAGCCACCACGGGAAGGGCTTCCTGAAATTATTATCTGATGTAAATAAACATGGTTAAATTCTCAGTATGTAACTTTATGTTTCTTATTTACGCAACAGTCCACACAAGCTTAGTCGTACTTTTAAGTCTATTTTCATAATTATTTATTCAATGTGAAAATTCTTCATTTCGAAATACAATTTTTATTTAAAATTCAAATCCATCAGCGATTGTAACAATGGAAATATTTTCAGTTGTTAAAAGTTTGTTGTTGTAAGAATGGATACGTTTTCAGCCGTTCTGTTGAAGGGTGAGTTTACCAGAAACGGCATAAGAACGTAAATGAAGACTTACTCTCGGTCTCAGATTGTAGCGATCAAATATCCGCCTAAAATTTTTTTATTAATTATACTCCTGAACCATATAGGAACCGAAATACAAATACTCGTATCGCAGGACCTAGCATCATCATTATGTACGGTAGTACTTAATAGTAGGGATCGTGATGAAACAAAATGGCGGTCATAAAAATCGTCTGTTCAAAACCACCTTTAAAATGTCTGAATATTAACAACGAGTTCTAGTAATAAAATAATTGCGTAGGCGAGGAAATAACAAATGTAAAATAGAATATAAATTAGTGGTGAAAAACTCGCAAAATTAGAATAATTTATTGATAAAACACGAAAACAACGTTTCGGGCAACAGCCGAGTTTCCAGTGAGACTAAACGTTATTGTCACATTGACGAACATGATTTCCAGGCTCCAAGGCACGTGAACTTTCCATGGCCACGAATTACTAGCACGGTATTCGAGTATAAATTGTTGCATAGAAACTTTATTTATTAGCTACGTAGCTTTTAATTTGACGCTATTCTTTTTTACTCCTTAGATAAAATAAGGTAAAATTTTCATAATAAGAACAATATCATTTTTTATAGAAACAAGATAAGAAAATTCAATTACAATAATAAGAATAAAGAAAACTTCTGTACTAGTGGCGGGAATATTTCGGAATATCAGTATGTCCCCTTTTTTAAGCCCTTGTTACCATTGATTAAAAACAACATACACTATTATTTACACTGATTTTTAATATGCGAGTAAAACCAACACTATAAAACAGTAATGAACTTAATATAAAATCAGCATTAAGAAGTTTTTAGAAAAATCCCAGTCAGCACCTTAAAGTCATACCAGACAAAATTCAAACGCTGATGTTAAACTAGCTAGTAATCATGGAAAATCAATTAAGGGTATGAAGTTGAGTCTCAGTTCCTACTGCCTTTCACTGTCTGCAGCCAGTTGTGGGAAGGTAGTTACCCTTAAAAGTTCTTATAATTCCTAAAGTAGAAATGAAATGAAACCAACCTAATATTTCTACAACAGTACAAGTACTATACGCTACTCCCAATCCCCACCCTTACAAAAGAAATGCAATAATAAAAGATCTTAAATAGAACTACAAGACCTACCTTAATATTTCTTATGTAGGATTTATACTCCCTTTCCTTGAAAAAGTATTCAAGTATGACAGGGGAAAGCCGAGACAAACCCAGATACTTGAAGTTAGTCTTTCCGTCCCGATATACTGAATAATATTTTAATTTTAGCTACTTAAAGGTAGCTAACTACCTCTAGTGACAAAAAGGTATTTTCCTTATCGAAAATTTATTTATTCTTTTTAATATTTCATACTTATTATAAAACGGTGTAAAATTTTTTCTTACTTTCCAGTATTTGTAGCCATTATTTTCTTGTGTACTTATGAATAATATAACATTATCCATAAAAGCATTATCATTATTGCCAACTGTTAAAAATCTTTTTAACTGAGATATAATGTAGCCTTTTAACATCATACGTGGAATAACACTACTGGGGGTGGGTAGACTGAAAATAGAAAATTAAATTCCTTTTTTTTTTATCAAACATAGTCAGCTTTGCTTTGCCTTCTACTAAATTAACATCCAAGTCTAAATAGTTGGCACGAACATCATTGTTATTGCTTTTTTCCGATATAAGTTTGGTGTAAAATTCAAGATATTTATGGCAATTAAATCGTCTATGTAACGAAAAGTAACAACTACAAATTGGCCATATTTGAAGAGAAGTTCGCTCCCATGTGAATACCCACTGTTTGTTTATATACTTGTTTGTTAAAAGTAATATAACTATTATATACACAGAAATAATCTGTATATATATAATGAACTTCAGTAAATTTTAATTTGGGATTGCTCATTTCTCGATTTACAAAATTATCAAGCAAATCATTGAATACTCTGATTAAATCTTTCAAATCTATTTTAGTATACAGTGTAGTGAAATCACACGTAGAAACAGAGTTAGCCATGTCTGAAGCATTTAATTCATTTAAACATTCCAAAACTGGAATGTTGTCCTTAATAATCCAAAAATAATTATCTGGATTATTTAAAAAATGTTTTTTTTTTTTTCAAACACAACATCTAGAATATTATTAAGAACAATAGATACAGATTTAGTAACTGTATCTAAATAATTAGTTATAAATCTGAACTTAATCGTATTTTTGTGCAATTTTGGAATTGCATATAAAAATGGCAGTTGAGAAGAAGAATCTTTATGTATATTCCATCTTTAATGGCTTTCTTTATATTAGTAATAATAGTATTTTTCTTTAAAATACTTTTAGTAAACGAACTTGTATTATTAAGTTCTTTAATTAAAATTTGTGAATATAATTTTTTACATCCTGCTTTATTAATCGGGGTAATAATAAATTTTACTTGAATTTTTGAAACATATTTTTGAAGATATTGAAATAATTATATATCTTGTATTGAGATAGATTTAAATTTCTTAATCGATTTTGTTATTAATCGAATTGATGAAATATAATTTTTATTAAAAAAAAACATGAAGGATAGTAAGTTTTTTTTGCTTATCTGTTATGACTTTAAGGTGGGATTTACAATGGATTTTGCATAAACTTCTTAATGCTCCTTTCATAAAAAATGTTTTGGTGGCATAGTTACACTCGTGGAATATTTTCTGGGTTGGATCTTTTCAGGAAACTAAGGCTTAACTTTATAATTAATCATTTTCAGGACAGTATATTTTTTCCCTCATCTTCACAAAAATGTAATCGTGGTTGCCCCATTTAAAATGCTTCAGTCATTTCAGTTTTTGTGATAAAAATATATCTTTATTAAAATATTTACGAAATTCTTATGTTGAAGAAACGGGGATCAATAATGTCGTGTATCCCAAATCCCAATACTTTCTGGTTTATTGTGGATTTTACGTACTTTATTTATCTGTACAGTAACTGCTGTATATAAATTCATTGTCACATAAAGTGTGAAATTAAATCAGTGCAAATGTTAAAATAACGTTATAGATTCAGTACTGTAGTCAGAAAACATTTTCATGTGTGTGGGGTCTGGTAAGCAACTGACTTAAGTCATGCCATAAAGAAACATAAGCTGGAATTTCGAGAAGGGAAATTAAGATCCTCTCCATATTACGTCTATACATCGACATAGGATGAAACACGTTCCAATTTGAATGCTCGAATGCTATGGTTTCCATGTTTACGTAGATTTCGAAAACATGAACAATACTTATTTGCTGTCAATTAACTTTATTAATTATCTCGCTTGGGAAGCCGAAGATAAATCATGAAACTTCCCACGCAACAATCGTCACCAGGTGCAAGGCTCTGAGTGCAAGGCTCAGTTGACAAATATTTATCATTTCGTCATTAAAATTATTATTTTTTCATCTTTATCAAACCCGGAAAATATTCAGAGAGATTAATTGAGCATAGAAGGCATCACAAACACACATAAAGTCATTTCGATTTTAGGCAAGAAGCTAATTTCATTTATCATGTTATTTCCGTTCAATGATTTCCTCAGTCTCTACTGGGGTTTCGAGTGCTAACAACTTCCCATTAGCGTTTTTTTCTTTTCTTATAAAATTTACGCTCCAAAAATTAAAAACCTTCGGAAGCCATTATGATATTTTTCGCTTAGAGCATGAAAACAATAAGTTCTTCTAAGCTTGTTACTTTTGTGTTATTCGAGTAACAAGATACTACGATTATATACAATAAAACTGTGAATAGTACTTTTCTTGTTCATAACATGGATAAATTATTGATAACATATAACTCAATCTGGATCTGATCTCAACGTTTAATACTTTCTGGGCAAACACGCAGGTGCTCTCATATTAACACGTTGAACATTAAAAGTAGAAACTGAAACACCATTAGGCCTACCACAAGTAAAGTACAGAAACCGAAACACCATTAGGCCTACCACAAGTGAAGTACAGAAACCGAAACACCATCAGGCCTACCACAAGCGAAGTACAGAAACCGAAACACCATTAGGCCTACCACAAGTGAAGTACAGAAACCGAAACACCATCAGGCCTACCACAAGCGAAGTACAAAAGGACATTATCAATTATAACGTGTAGAAAGACTGTAATGACAAAAACAATGTATAAAAATACATCAACAAAGCACAAAAAGACATCTATAGTGCATAGAAAACTGTAAAGACAAAAACAATGAGGTAGAAAAGAACGTCAATTACAGAATAACACAGGGGGGGGCATCGTTGACACATTTTTAATGTATAATTGTTAATGTCTAGTTTTTGCACTAATTATTTTTGCTAGCCCTGATATCGTATTTGAAGTTGACCTTTTCTTTCAACGTTAGGCTAGAGAATCATGATATTTCAGTACGTGACATACGATGGCCACTAGGGTTGAGCTACTTCTGTCTCTTGTATTTATAAATGACCATTATAAACAAAATATTGTTTTCGTTGCTATAGCCGTTACTTTGGAGTGATATAATTAAAATCTATCTTTTTTTCCGAATTAAAAACTCAATAAACTTGTTACAAAATAATTACCAAAAAAAAGTTATAGAAGGGGCCAGGTGAATAGGTGACTTGACTCGCAAACTGCGTGTCAAGAGTTCCCATCCTGTCAACAAACATGCTCGCCTTGGGACGTTATAGTGTAACGGTCGATCCCACTCTTCGTTAATAAAAGAGTGGCCCAAGAGCTTACGATTGATGATATTGAGTAGCTGTCTTCCCTCTAGTCCATCACTTCAAAGTTAAGAACGACGGTTAGCGCAGATAGTCCATGAATAGCTTTGCGCGAAATTCAAGAAACAAACAAACATTAAAAGAAAAAAAAATTAGCTGTAAAATAACATATATTTTTATATTTTAGAAATTTCACAAAAACATGACATGGATAATCTGTGGGAAGATGAGCAAGATCGAGAACTAGAACTTACACAAGATATCTATCCACTAGGTAAGAAACATCAAGATGTATCTATCCATTCCTGTAAATATACAGTGATTTATCTTAAGAGATAAATTATTGTAAGTTATGAAAAGCGTGCATGAATTACAATTTTCTTTTTTGGAATTTCTGGTGTCTGTTTAAACAAATATGTAACTGACTAATAAAGTGTTTTATTTTTGTCTTGCATGGTTTAAGTAGGACTTTTTCATTAAAAATGCAGGACCGGTGCTGGTGGGGGCCAGACCACCTGAAATGTTCTTGCCCCCACAAGCTAATGTCGTCCATTAATTTAGTTTTAGATTTGGCCCCATTATACGTCTTTTTCATTAGATTCTTTTTTTCAGGTTAGTCAGTGTATCAATGTCGTCTGCTTCTCTTTCATTAGATTCTTTTTTTCAGGTTAGTCAGTGTATTAATGTCGTCTGCTTCTCTTTCATTAGATTCTTTTTTCAGGTTAGTCAGTGTATTAATGTCGTCTGCTTCTCTTTCATTAGATTCTTTTTTCAGGTTAGTCAGTGTATTAATGTCGTCTGCTTCTCTTTCATTAGATTCTTTTTTCAGGTTAGTCAGTGTATTAATGTGATTTTGTTGTACCCTAGTGAAACGAAAAGATCTATCTGCAGTGGAATTGCTGGACTACTTGCTGAGAAGTTTACCGAGAAAAACATACAACAGGAACCACGTGAGAGGACAACATTTTGGATTAAGTCGTTAAAGAAAATGAGATACGAACTTGCTAATTGATATTCTCTTAACTTATTATCGACCTTGCTTGGCTGATGAAAACTAGTTATAACTCGATAGTGTAGTACACAGTTAGTCCTAAAACATTGTTAACTAAAGTGACATTAATTTATTTCATGGATACGAAACGTTAGCTAGAAATCGTTAAAACTTGTGTATACTATAATTTATTTCGAAGACTGTAAACTCAAATAAAACAAGATAAATAACTCACTCTTGTGTCACCTCAATTTTTGCACATGAAAATCATTAATTAAGTTATGGTAAAAGCCAACGTCTGCAGCAACAGTTGACATACAAATTGATGTAGAACCAGAAACTAGAAACACTGAACAGAGAAAAAAAAATCAAAATTAAACCAAAGACTCCAGAAATATAGATAAAAATACAGCAACAGTTGACATACAAGTTGCTATAGAACCAGTAACTAGAAACATTGAACAGAGAAAAAAAAATCAAAATTAAACCAAAGACTCCAAGAAATATAGATAAAAATACAGCAACAGTTGACATACAAGTTGTTATAGAACCAGTAACTAGAAACATTGAACAGAGAAAAAAAAATCAAAATTAAACCAAAGACTCCAGAAATATAGATAAAAATACAGCAACAGTTGACATACAAGTTGTTATAGAACCAGTAACTAGAAACATTGAACAGAGAAAAAAAATCAAAATTAAACCAAAGACTCCAGAAATATAGATAAAAAAGGACCAACTATTTTAAATTCCGATAATTATCCAAGTTCCCCATCATGGCGGTCAATTTAAACTTATTAAATTTGTAATGCTTTTTAATAAATTAAAACTCAAAGAACTTATGTAAGAATTTAAAATACTCAAACGATCAACGTCGTATAGATACGTAACTCAACATCATTAACGTCAGCCTCAAATGTCGGTAAAATAACTACTCTGAAAAATATAAATACAAAAAGTCATGGTTATGTGACTACTAGTTTACATATTTAAAAAAGATCACGGTATCTACTTACTTTCTGATTTTCTAACCGTTCATCTTTATTTAAGATGAAATTATTTTTGCTACGGGGGGCAGAACATAACAGTAAACTAAAATAGCATTGTTCCTTGTGAGTTACTGACCAAAAAAGTGAAGAAACCATCCTGAACAGTTCCTAAAAACCCGTCTCCTTCATAGTTTGAGACTGAAAATCTCCAAACTTATACAACTAAAATTAAAATCTCTTCTATAATTAACAGCTGAAATCTTAATCTCATCATAAAATTTATCGTTAATTTTATCAGTTTCATTTGGTAGTCCAACCAAAAGCCCTCTATAGTCACTAACAGAAACTAATTATCAGATAAATACAGAACAGATTTTATTATATTTTAAAAATAAGTCACCTAATTTAGTTGTTTGAGAAAGTTTGAAATTCGTTGTCACGTTCTAATTTTATATTTATTGTAATCCTTGAGGACTAGTCTGCGACTACGATAAACAACAACAAAATTTTAATCAATGCCCAGAAACTCATTTATTTCAATTTAAAACACTCTAGTTTGTTTGTTGAATTTCGCGCAAAGCTACTCGAGATCTATCTGTGCTAGCTGTTCCTAATTTTAGCAGTGATAGACTAGAGGGAAGGCAGCTAGTCAGCACCATCCACCGCCAACTTTTGGGCTACTATTTCACTAACATATAGTGGGATTGACCGTGCCACTATAACGGTTGAAAGGGCTAACATGTTCGGTGACGAGAATTATAACATTCGAACAGCAGATTGCGAGTTGAGCGCCCCCAAACCGTCTCAATGGCTTAGAAGTAATCCTGAGGGTTACGACGCTAAAATCAGGGTTCAAAACCCTCAGTGAACACCGCACACCATTGTGTTGTTTTGCGCTTAACAATAAACATTGTCTAACATTATATTTTAATGAACCCGAAAAGATGACTTGTATAACGGGTGATAAACGTAAACGTTGGTTTACGTTATATATGCTGTTCAGTAGGTGAGTTTAACCTCGTACATAACACAAACTGTAACATCTACTAAACGTATTTTCATTACGTCATGTTATTTTACACATAGATACAATCTTTTTTTTAAACAAACAAATATTTTCAACAAACTGTATCTATTTGCATCAAATGAACGATTGAAGGTTGAAATGACAGAGCTTTACTAAAGTATAAAACTTTTTGTGAAAAAAAGGAAAAAAAAAAAACACTATAACCCGAGCACTTTCGATAGGTGTACCTTTCTTCTTCAGGGGCAAACTTTTGTGAAAGAAATGTCAATCTCCGATTACGATATGAACCTGTTTTTGTTTCACGGAATAACTATTCTAGGCTTAAACATGATACTGCTTCTGTATTTCTCATACTAACTTCAGCTCGAATTAAATTTCAAGAACAATCGACATATCATAAATGTGTGCTGCCATCTAGTGTTAAAATGAAAAATTATATTTATCAAAGGGTATAGAATGGAATATCAATAATGTTTTACTTTTCTGTATCTAAATATAAGAATACAGTAATAATATCTTTCATATTTTAACATATTATCATTTCGACACTTTTGATTTTTTTTTTCTTGGATATGATTAACATTATAATGATATGTAACTTTATATCCAGACAAAGAAAAAACATGTCACGTTTTCACCAAAGTCCTGGACAAAAAAATAGGTGTATAACTGAAATAAAGTGTATGGTATCTTAAATCAATGTCTTTTTTTTTCTTTAAATCAATACCTATAAAACGTTTCATACTCAAGTCAGGAATTCAGTTACTGCTAAATCTAATGTAAAAAAATATATTTAATAAAGTACATAAAAAAAGATTACTGAGACAATTCTCTCTTTCAGTATTACATGTCCAATATTTTGAGTGAATATTTTATCATGTGATTTAGGAAGAAGTAGGCAGAGTAGTTTATGAACATACCCTATGTTTTATTATAGTATTTATTCTGTAAATAAACAACTTCTGTAGTAAATACCTTATTTATTATTCTCTGGATATACTGCCTGGTGTATTGATGTACTGTTGCACAAACAGTGTCCTCTAATTACAGGTTGGGCAATATTTCAGTTATGAAAAGCCTTAGTGGGATTGAACAACAGAATCTTGAGAATACAGTGTTAAACGTTACTTAGGTCTCTCTTTCTCAAGCTCAAGTGTCAGTAGGTAAGGGAATTTAAAGTCCTTTCTTTGTAAATCATATTCTCCTAAAGTTTCACCTGTGACTTTAAAACTAATTATCATTAACATCTTAAATTCTTCAGAAATAACTATACAGTAAAGGTACAAAATGTATTTCATTTTGATAATTTACAAGTTTGAATAAATATTGTTTCATTGTGTTTTTTTACATTTGTGTCCAGTCTCTCTGTTTCTCAAACTCTGAAAATTCAGAATTACTTTGTAATAAAGTATCCTGTTGAATCTCCAGTTATTAAGTGGACCCATCTTACTGCTCTACATTTAACTTATTTTACTTTAATATACCACGGTAGTAAGCAGTTTTTCATTTCCTTCCAAAAATTAAATGAAATGAATTTTTAAAAAAATCAATGCACAGTACTTTTGCTGACCTCCTCGTGATTATTTACCCCTTCATTCCTGCACCCTTCAGACTAAACTAATGTTATCTTACAATCTAATAAGGTACTAAAGCATCCTGTATTTCAAGAGCTTTAACAATCACTAACTTTAGGCCTAATAATTGTGATTAAAATCATGGTAGGGTTCAGATTTTCTTTGCCTGATCAATTGAATCTGTTTAGGTTGCATATATACGCTGCACTCACTGCTTGGATCAAACCCCAAATTTTAGTAATAAACCCTCAAGCTTAATACTGAGTCAATTGAAAGAAATGTGGAAAAATAAACGTGTATAACTTAACATGATTTCATCACAATTAATTGGGTAAGCTGGTTTCTAATACTTTGCTGATTTTGGAGTATGAAACATATCTTAGTATAAATGTCACCAGTAATGATGAAAAGTGGGTAAAAATGGCATTATTTGTTTTAAAAAAAAGTTTATCCCTTATGTTTACAAATTTTCTGTATGGCTAATAATAATAAAAAAAGTCCAAGTTATTATTACTGGTATCTTTTTTAAGAGTAATTAGTTATTAAATTACTTTGTAATAATTTGTTACTCAAAGTTCATTTTGTTTTTTTAGAAAACAAAAATTAATTTCTAATACGTTGAATAAACGAAGCTTTTAATACGTATACTTAGGATACAAAATCAGATAGTGTTTTTAATATTGTTGTTGCAATAATGACAAATGATTCTTGTTAAGACATCAACAAAATAACTTCAGTGATGTTTAAAACACACAAAATCAAATCTTGAAATTCAGTTAGACAAGTATAGAAGTTTAATAATATTTCCAGGTATGTAAAATTGCACAACGTTTTCTAATAATAAAAAACATTACACATTAATTTTACAGTTCAATCAAGAATTGTATCAGCCAATTCAAAATTACACAATCCTGTCTACTGTGTAATATCTTTAATAAAACATTTAATACAATTTACTTGAGAGCTGTGAATTTATTCTTCTTGTAACAGAACAAACAGCTAAGTATTTCTCTATCACTAATTCATATGTAAGGAACACTTAAATGTTTTTGTTTCTTTTATTTTTTAATTATCAGACGATAAACTGAAGATATTACAATTGTCATAAATACAGATTGCTTGTAAAGCCAACTTTGCACAAAAATTACTTGTAATTGTGTTTCTGGCTTGATGCTGGATTAACTACTGTATTAGTAAACTGAGATGAGGATTAAAATACTTTTTCGTGTGAAACAAGAGTGTTACCAACAAGTAAATTCCAATATATATTAGCTCAAATTACAGCAACAGTAAACGGCATTTATAAATTATGTTAACAAACACTGCAGTGATCCAGTAGGTATATAAACAATCTGTAAAAAAAGATCTTAAACGTGAAAATTTGCAATAAAATAGTGCGGGTGTTCAAAATTTTAAGTTCCTGAAGGAACAAAATGCGTGTGTGAGTGAAAGTATTCACAAGTATATCTCAAGGTTTAAAAATCATAGAAGAACATTAAGTTGCAAGCTTTGATGGTCGTTTTGTGTTTATATAAATGTTTATTAGAATACTGACTTACTTTCCAATACGAAGAAAAAAATAACATTACGTAAATTTTTTATACATCACCAAAACCCTGGAATAATATTATCAGTAACATTATTCTTGAAGATCTATTGGTTAAAAAAATAACTGAATTATCTTCCAAACTTGAGTTAACGTCAAACTCACTAACATTTTAAAATAATGTAAGTATTCACCAACTGAAAGTTTAGTAACAGTAGTTATTTCAGCAATTTAGACTCAATTATACTGTATAAACAAAACATTAAACTTTTCTTGGATTTCATTAGCATCTAACAAGCTTTTAATGATGAAACATGCCTTACATAAAACAGTCTGGTTGAAGATCGATAATAAAATATACTGTTGATCTCGGAACTATCTTCAATTTCCAGTGAAACAAGTTGTTGGTCTTACATGATCTGTCAAGACTTCTGATGATAAAATAAGATGATCTTCTATAATTCTGTCTGAATTTTAAACTTCCACTTGGCCAGAATAAACGTTACCCCAAGATCAACTTAAAAAGTATTGTTACAATATTCAGGAAAATAAGTGGTACTGAAAGAGGAGGATAAACATATACAAGAGTAAGGATTAAAAGTGGAACAAGTTGTAAAAATTTAAATAATTCATTAGCTAATTATAACAAAAATGGACGAGTTAATGAATCTGTATTACAATCATCGTACTAGATTATTTAAGCTTTAATAAAAGTATTCATACAGTAGTTTATGTGATGTGTAAAACAGCAAGTTACAGGATCTCAACATTTCACACTCGAGAATGACCACATTAAAAAAATTACAATTATGTTTATATTAGTCCAATGAATAAGTCTAGTATAAAACATCATTGTTTGATGTTATAGATCAAGTATTTTACAAAACATGCTATATTTCACATTAACAACATGACATTTTCTTGACAACTCCGATATCGAAAGTGACTGTACATAAATCAATCTAATAATAAAATAATTCAGTCAAAAGAATCAAATTTAAGGTGAACAGCTTTTCAGAGGGAAAATTTTATTTATAGGATAAGACAAATCTATCTTCACTTGCTTTACTACAACTATTAAAATTATTTTTTATTTACACATTTTCATCTTAAAATTACATAGAATTTAAACTCTTGTGAAAAATGTCTATTTTAAAATTTGACATGTATATAATTTTTATGCCTATTGATACTTATTATTTTAATGTATAATGTTAGTCATAATGCGTTTTCTACATTATAATGCCATCTCTCAGATTCAAATGTAGTAAAAGTTATGCTATGTTTAGAACCACTATATATATATATATATAAAGTAAATATATTATTTCGTGAAAAGATATTTAATCTAAACATAATCAAACTAATAACATAAAATACTCACTCCTCATGACGGTTCTAATGGAATGAATCAAATTTATTAACTGTGACTTCACTCCAGGATCTTCTCCAAAGCCTCTTGTAGTTTGATCATCTCGGCCCCAGCCGACTGCAGTATAATAAACAAAACAAACTATACACTCTATCTGTTACCATTTACATCAGTAACACGACTCACTTGTTGGTGTTTTCGTACAATTTTTTTTTCTCACCTTGCTATCTTTCTTGAGTTGTTATTTAGTTTTCACTGTTTGAAAGACAAGGTTAATTTTTTTAATAATTCAACAGCTGGAGTTCAACTTCCTTATATTCTTTATATGACTTTAAATACAAAAGGCTCATAACATTTTGTACTCACAGGCCAAGAGCTTTAACATGAGTTAGCAGATCATATTCATAGGCAATACATACAAATAAAGCAAAATTCAAAGGTCTAAAACGAAACAATTCTGTTCATTGAAAGAAAATCCATAGTTTTCATGATATATGTGTAACAAATTTATTGTCTCTTTGTGCAAGACAGTTCTTTGTTCAAAAGGTTACTGACTGATATCTTGGCTTGATTTTGAATAATTAAGATTTATTTTTAGTGAAGCATTAAATATATGACTTGATTTGAGTGCCTACAAAAAGTTAGGGGCTTGGATAAAGGGAACATGGAATTAGTTATATTTGAATGGTGAGATGACGAGGTTAATAGGACAGACTCAGGTACCAGTAGTAGTAAATCTAAGCTTTGTAGGGAAAAAGTACTGATCTAAATTTGTTCTTGTGCTTTTGAAATTTCTATTAGTTAAAAACTTGTGGAATAATGTAGTTTGTCCAATACTTTAATATTCACTGTTTTAGTATATTCAAGCATTTACTGGTGTTTAAGGTGCTCAACTCACAATTTGAGGGTCACTAGTTTGAATCTCCCACCACCGAACGTTCACGTCTTATAGGGTTGCTGACTGGGTTAACCACCCGGGTGTAAAAATTGTTAGCTTACAAACACTGACAGTCATTTTTATAATGTTTTCACTGCCCTGAAGTGTGGAGTATGACATTTTTTTTTTTAGTGGTAATGGGGTGTGAACCACATTACTTCAAATCCACAGTCTGGCACACTAATCACTGCATCAGATATCAGAGTTGTTTATAAGTTGTAGTTGGGTATGTTTTCACAGATAATATACAAGTTAGACTACACTACAGAAACATACTTTGGTGTAGTAGAAAACAAGTGATAGAAGGACAGTTAACTTTTATTTCTCATATATATATACTTTTTTGTTTAAATATCTTATATCATTATTAATTTTGAAAGAAACAAGAAGCTCATGAAATTGATAGAGGCGTGATTAATGTTCAATCTTCTGAATAAACAAATGTGACAATGGTAGCCTAAGTGGGTAGACCAACTTGTAAATTGTAACACTAGCCATGCCTCTGTAATGTTTTTAATATTTGTTGTTTATTAGTTATATCAAGACAATAGTTAAGAGCTTCTTTAACAGTAATACTTCTATCACTAAATTGTACTCCATTTTTTAAATGCCAGTAAGTCAAAACTCCTTAATTTAACTTCTAATTCAATGTTAAGCTGCTTTGGCTAACTTTTCCATCTAACTCTTTTAACTTCTAAGCCTATTTCGTATTTCTTGTAATGTAAATTGTATAGATTAATCTATATTGCTGTTGTATAACTAATGAAATTTATTTAGTCGCGTTACCTTTTGAAAGAAAACGTTCTTCGTGTAAAACAGCCACAGCATTTACGCAGAGCAAAGCTGCTTCGAATAAACTGTACAAAGTGAACGTCATAACGTAATATAATTATTTATTAGCAGTTTCGTAGTTACCAACACTTTAAGTTATAACTAACCGTATACGTAATAACATTTGTCATCATCAAGAGACGTTAGCGCCATCTTTATATCAAGTAACGAATTCATCAGATGGGAATCAGAGCTTAATAATTAACAAAAGTACAACGACAACAAACATGTGATAGTTTAAAAACAGCAACAGACATCTTATTAAAACTAACAATAAGACTGAGAGAAAAAACAAACAAGAATTTTAAGAAATTAAAAAACACTGTTGCATGATTCCCTCTAGCTTACATCCAGGCTTTATACGTGGTTTGTCTAAAGTTTACAAAGACAATATTCCCTTAAGACTAATAATTAGTTATCAAGCACCCGATTAAGTTCCTTTTTCTCGCTTTAAATGCACTTACGTCTAACACGTTTATAATTAAAGATTATCTCTCCTTTGCAAAAGAAATTTCTAAGATTACTTATCCTGACCAATAGATACTTTCCAGCCTTGACATTGAATTGACTAATAACCCAACCAACCCAAATGATTTTAAAGAAACATTTCTTCACCAAAAATTAAAATCTCACCAGTTGTGTGCGCCAATAGTTCGAAGAATTATTTAAACTTACTCCTAAGAATATTCGTGTATTTTGTTGTGGCAATGGGGTCAACTTAGGGTTCATTTTCGTAAAATATATTTGTCACTATGAGCTTTGTAGGCTATACATCTGTACCACTGAATACAAATCGGTTTTACATTGGAGGCATGTTGACTATATACTTTTGCTTTTTCGAAGCTGTTATCAGTTTAAAAAATTCTTAGGTTATTAAAATTCTAAGCACCCATGCATTAAATTTATCCGTAAAACTGAATACAATTTAAAATTGTATTTTCTTGATATCCAAATCAATGGATTAAATAATCAATTTATTGTAAAACATATATACACGCTTACATGATCGCTCAGACAGTTTTATTCTGTACTTCTCCTACGAAACTTTATATTCATTTTTATCAATAGAGTATTTATCACCTGTTCTCCCCCTTTACACCGAAATAACCAGCACACATAATATTGTAATGATAAAAGGCTAGCCCATTCATTTTATCCAAACCTTAAAACACCCAAGTTCTTTCTAACAAAACTAAACTCCCAAGGAAAATGCCATCAAGACTGGTCATTCCTTTTCTTTGGAGATTAAAGATGTATACTAAGATCACGAATTAAAAAAAATTAAAACTTTGTATTCGCAAGTTAAACTACAAATTATACTTAATCCACCATTCAAGATAAAAAAAAAATATTTATTCAGATCTATAGACCTATTACCCACCCCATGTGTTCCCATATTGTCCAATACGTCAGTTACACTTCTAAGCGTATGAACACATGAGAATATTGAGAAGAACAGGAAACAGCTCTTAAATCTTACGAACTCTGCTATCCACACACATAGTGAAATTGTCTGTATTACGTCGTTGAAACTCAAAGCCATATTGGGCTATCTGTTGTGTCCACCGCAGATATCAAACCCCGGATTTTAGCGATATAAGTATGCAAACTTACCGCTGTCACACCGTGGAAGCCATAGTGAAATCACCAAACACTTCATTTTGATTAGAAATTTGAAAATAATCTCTTCTTTTGCATAAAATAACAAACTTTGGGTTTAAAAAAAAAGTATATTATATAGTCTCTCGTTAGGTAAGCGGCGATAAGTTTACGGACTTACAACACTAAAATTCGTGGTTATATTCCATGCGGTAGACAGAGCATATGTAGCCCATTGTGTAACTTTACGCTAAAACAACAAGAACAATATATTATAAGTGAAGGCCTAACTCTGAATTAACGACACTGCCCCAGTTCAGTCTACTCTATATATTTAATGTAATTTCGCAAAAAACAAACTGAAATATTGTAGTATATATGTTGTACTTTAAACTTACCATCTAGCTCAACGGTAAGTCTGAGAGCATATAACGCTAAAAATTGGCTCCAGAAAGATTGAACATAAGAATAGAAATAAATCAATGGCTCCAGAAACAGTAAACATGGAATTGATACAAAGCCAACGGCTCCAGAAATAGTAAACATAAAATAGATATAAACCAACAGCTCCAGAAATAGTAAATATAAAAAATTATAAAAAGCCCACAATTCCAGCAACAACAGCCATGGAAAATAGATATAAAGTCAACGGCTTTACCTACACAACTAATTGTTTAGCCACACTAAATCATGGGTGGGCAACCATTTTTTTTTTCTGGCCATGGATGTGACCAGTCGATCACAGAAATGGCCGCACTATTAATACATCAGAAATTTTTCGCTAAATAAATTTATTTCAGGATTCTAATGACAGTCAATGTCAATTATAAACACAATGCAAAAGTACAAAAAAAAACATTTGTTTCAAAATTACAAAAGCGTGAATTTTCAATGAGAGATTTGGCATTCTTTTTTTTCTAAAAAAAAAAACACAATATCGATGATTCTAGGAGTTGGCCACACATTTTTGCGAAATGGCCATTGGCCAATCCGCGCCCTATTTCCAGACCAAACTACACCACTAGTATTTATAAATAACATATAAATACAGAGCTCTACAACAGGACCAATCCGCGCCCTATTTCCAGACCAAACTACACCACTAGTATTTATAAATAACATGATTTTCTCTGCTGAACATTTTTATTTCATGAAACAGTGAAACTAATAACACTGTTTCAAACAAATCCATAAAAGCTGGCAGAACTACTAACATGACTTAAAAGTTAGTCTCTATTTTCAAAGTTATGATCATATACATATAAGATACATAAAAACTATTTTTGACCATCACATTCTTCTGTTGAACTGCCGACAAAATGACACAATTAAGAAGCTACAATAGCCAATTTCCATACAGTGTTAAAAGGTGACATATATTTATAATTTTTTTTTTGTGTGGTAAATAAAAACTGCGTTAAAATTCATCCCCCCCTTCATGGAGTGCGCCAGCTGCCGTTATTGTTGTTCATAATTTAACGAATGGGTTCTACAACTGTTTAGTAGTTACAAGCAAAGTTACACAATTGGCTATCTGTGCTGTGCCCACTACGGGTATCGAAACCCAGTTTTCAGCACTGAAAGTCCACAGAAATACCTCTGAGCCACTGGTGGGGGGGGGCACGAACCCTTTTTTGTTTAGAATATCGAAGGTGGGTCTTACTTATAATATGGAAAATAGAAACTATTAAATGTCGTGAGTTGTTATAGTGTTCACACCACAAATCATAAACCAATGTCTTTATAATTAAAGGCAGCGAACACGATTAGAGAAACACTTATTATCAGTACACAATAAGCTCTGCCATTATTCACATCACGGTAAAACACCATGTTTATCACACTCTGTTGTAATGAAACACGTACTAACTTTCCGACCGAATATGAAGGAGTGTCTAGCTCGGACACATAAGAAGTGACGTCATTATTAGCTACTCTATCACTAACATACCTGGTAGGTGTATATTTATATTTGGACTTTATTTTTTCCGTATCACTTAACTGCTTTCAACCAGGATAATATTTAAATAATACTAACCTTGTTTTGTTGTTTGGTCAATTCAAATTTTATATAAAAAAATAGTCACGAAGAGAAAAAAAAGGTTTCTAATAATAACATTTTAAATATATTTATCTAGTAATTTTCTAAGCCGTATAAAGTTTTTATTTTTGCAATTAACTAAGTTATTTGTCCCTAAAATAATTCTGATTTATATATCTTTGCAAAATTAAATGATTATTAGTGATAATTACACGGCGAAATCAATTTGCTGAAAAAACCTTTACCCCCTATAGAAGGTGAAATGGTTCGAGTCTGTCTAGCAGCTCGTGCCACGCGCACTATTCACCAAGAACATCTCAAAACTGACGTCTCTCCCTCTAAATAGTAAATATGGAATTGTCGTTTCGCTGCACTTCCTAACAGAAATGGAACTTACAGATCGTTATTTATATCTTCAAGGTAGTAAAACTAAGAAACTTTTCAAAAGAACAGTTGTTTTGCTTTGTGTAAATTGTTAAATGATTAGCACACGAGCTTAAATTACTAAAACTGAATGAAGAAGGGATTACCACCTTTTATTTTGGTAATTTGAAGAAAAGCTATCATCGAAGGATAACTGAACTTGGTATTGGTAAGCGACTATGTACGGTTACAGTAGTGTGTTAGCGCTACACGTGTTTACACATCATGTTTTGCCCTTATACAGATCTTGGTCAGTCACACTAATTAAGTAAAGGGAAAATAAGTATATAACGTCGTATATTGTGTTAATTTACAGGTTCTACTGGGATTTCCTGTCATTTTTTAAAAGTCATTTTATACCAGTTATGTATTCAGCAGATTCGTTGGGCAGTCTCATTTTAAGTTGTCTGGGATAGGGGGTGTACGAGTTTAGTAAAATAATCTGTAGTTAGGCCAATAATTGAATAAATAAATACACTTATTTTCATAATGTTTTAATATACGAATAATGAATGGTGCATATTAAGCGAATTAAAGTCACAGACAAAATATGAAGAGAAAAAAACATATATATATATATATATACATATATATATATTATTAGGGGTGAACTTTGGAATTATTAACTATAAAAGAAAGTTATTATTTTCATTCATCTGTTTGTTAAGGCTTCGGCTCAAGTGTAACTGCCAAAACTTTGACGTACAAGTTATTTTAAAAAAAGGCGGTATCTCAGTTGGTTGGATGGAAAAATCATACGTTAAAATGGAATTCGTGGAATAAAAAATCAGGCCTATAGGCGTCCGCGGAGGGAGGCACTTGTCCCCTGGAAAATGAAAAATGTTTCTTTATTCATTCAGTATATATTATGTTGCTTCAGACTCTGCTACTATCCGGGGAAATTATTGTGGACGCCCACGATAATCCATACCAGGCCCTGTAAACAGAAGTATCTGAAGATTTTAGATCCCATTTGGCTCCATTTAGAAGTTGGGGAGTCCAGCAGTTTAGAAGGGGCTTTTGGGAAATCCCCAGGTTCCCCAATGAGTGGGGTAAAATATTTTACCTCTGTGCAAACCTCGAGATTCAGACAATTCGTTTGGTACCACTTGGAAGTTGGTGCAACCAGTAGTTTAGGAGAAGTTACGTGACACTGAATCTTATTATACAGATATTCTGTATGACTCATTATCAAAAGCTTCGTGAAGATGTAAGTACACCCTTTCCATCATCCACATAAGAGATTATTAAGGCCAGATTTCCTTCAGTGAATTCATGTCGGTTTTCTTTTGTAATAGTACAGTACATTAAATTATTAGGTTTAAGTGTTAAAACTCTTCAAGTTTTCTCAGAGTTTTGCAGGTTACCAACCCTTGGTTGGAAGTGTACATCTTGTTAATCTTGTTTGTGAGATGCATTTAGTAATAAAATAAAAACTTAAATGGGTTTGTAATTTTAACGATAATATGTTTGTTTTCTTTACCATTATATTTCAAACTCAGTTTTATCTCGGTTAGTTACACTTCACTTTAGTTTCAGGCAACAGCTGACCTCTGAAAATGGAATCTGTCCACAAAAACTGTGTATAACAATTATACAAGAATTAATAATAGGGAAGCCTGAATACTACATAGGATAAAGGTAGTACAGTAAAATAAAATAATTGTTTCAGTAACAAATGTAAAGTTTGAGGGAGATGTGAATTTTTTGGTTTAGAAATAATTTCCTTTTTTTTAGGTGAGATGAAGGTGGAAAATGGGTGACCAAGGTGTTGTGGTTAAGATTGGCCTTGAAACATGGTATATTTGATACCAAAACGTGGTATAACATCAACTTTTTCAGATGTTTTGTCCTCGAGAAAATCTTTGGTTTACTTGTTGTGGAAAAACTGCTGTCTAGCTCAAATGTAATGTAATGCTGCAACATTAAACTTCATGCTCGTATACAAAATAATACTGCTTCGTTTCTTCAGTTTAATTTAAAGAAGTTTTGACAAGTACAATGAGTAGTGGTAAAGCTTTTGGATGGGTAACTGTTGGTAATATTCACTTGCCGTTTATTTTTCGCTTGTGTCAAAAATATGTTGCAGTTAAAATTGTGCAACAAGAAATGGTGAAGAAGTTTACTGGACTGTTACCACCTTACGTTTTTACGTGCACAAACATCAAAAGTCACTATATTACAAAAAGAGAAGCAAAACTCTGGAATGAAATTAATGGACATCATTGTGGTTTTCAATTTGGAGAGGAAGATTTTACCACTAAAGACTTGATTGTTTCTTTGGCAGATGTTATCCAATTTTACGACTTTTTAAAGTTGTGCCAAGAGAAGCTTTCCAGTTCTCCTTCCTCAGATTATACATTGAAAAAAGATTGTGGTCTGTTAAAGGTGAATGAAACCATCATACCATACGTACAGACAGAAGTATCAAAAATCGTACCAGCTTGCATGTTACCTGAAAACGTATTGCACTCTGCAACAACGGAAGGAACTCAGTGGGATGTTGCGTACATGAGGTTTTTATGCCAGGTTGCAGGTTTGGATAAAACAAAAGTGAAACTTGATACCACCTTTGTAGCTGTAGATAAACTATCAACCACTAGTCCTGAGTCGGGAATTGTTATCGCTGAATGGTGGCCAGAAACCATACCTTTGGTAAGAAAACCCGCCTCTTCCCATCATGCTCCAAGTGACACGAACGTAACCAACAAGGTAACAGTAATAGACTCAAAGACCACGCCTAAAACAAGGGAAGCCATAGGGAAGACGAAACAAATATCTTTCAGTGAACTGTCTGATAATTTTAGCATACAACGACATACTTACCACATAGTCCCTGGATCAGAGGGAACCTTGCCTAGTTTAACTGCATCTTGTAGAGTAAAGGAGGTTCTGAAAGATGGGTTTTGTCTGAAGGATCACTGTGGAAAACTTATACCAAACCATACACTCTTATATGGTGGATTAACAGCAGTTCCCGCTTGTGGTTATTTTGTGAGGCCAGCTGCTTCAGAAACTGGACAGCCCTCTACTTGTGAAAGCTTGGTCAAATCATCCTCAGAACAAGGAAATGAAAACGAGATCAGTACAGCCACATTGACAGAAAAAATTGAATCCCACATAACAGTCCAAGCCTCCTCTAAAGAAGACACTTCCTGCAGCCTTGATGAAAGAACCGATAGGACCTCAGAAGTGATACGGTTAAAAACGGACGCAACTAACAAGAACTTTACTCCAACAAACATACCTTCTACCAATATGCCGGTGGTTCCAAAAGGTATTCTTACTGCAACAGAGATGAATACATTGTGTTCTAACTCCAAACACCCCGTGGAACTGATAACACCATTACCTATTCAATCTCAAACCCTAAATATGGACAACACTCAAAATCAAACTAGTGTTGAGAAGTGCTCGGGTGGTTATGTGGATTCAGAATCCATTAAAGATGACTCTCTTATACTGTCGGAGACAACAGGCTTCTTTGTTACCAACATCGATTACTCCATCCGGGAAGTCAACGTTCATGGAAAGCCTGTTCTAGCCGTGAACATGGATTCTTCTCCTGAACCAGTTCTGGTGACGAGTCTTACTGAAGTGGTAAACAACTTTGAGACTGGGACAGTAACTTCATGTGAATCTGTGTTACAGAATGTGCTGAAGGTACAGATGTATCCATGCAGTAGGTACGTAAAGGAAAAAAAGTACAAACTTTTAGTATCGTTATGGTACGTAAAAAAATTCTATAAATATTTGAAGGTCTTTCATAATTAAAAGTAAGGAATTATTAAACTATTTTAACACTGTTCTTCTTCATCATTCAGCCCAGGTTGTCGGATGATTTCACATTTATAATAAATATGAAGATTCAGTTGCACAAACTATAAAGCAATAACTACAGGTACGGTAACATTTATATTAAGAAACATTAAATTTAAAAGAACATAAGCATGAAGATGACTGAATTTATATATGGCTGAGTGAGGTAAAAATCACAACACTTCAAAGCTGTTTAATCGTATCGTAGTAACGACTAATTGTTAGTTTATTTACTGAAACTTTCACCACGTAGTGCATTCTAAATTTCTGATTGGAATCTCCAAGAAACTAAATTAAATATTGTTTTGCACGTCTAGCAAGAAGGAGATTGGAATAAGAAGTGAAAGAAAAAGAGAATATGTTAATGACACTACGTACGACTGCTAGTTTAAGCTAGATCAGTTGGAACTGACTAATGAAACAACATATTCTAACCATTACAGAGTTGGCAGCATTAATTTACAAGTTCTTTTTTTACTTCTGATCAAAAATTTACTTGACTAATACTGGTGTAGTTGTAATGCTGTGTTTTTATCGTTAAGGTAAAAGCTGTGATAATTGTTTCAGTCACCGAGCAAACATAATTATCTGTCATGTTTTTCAAGTAAATTTTAAGTATTTAAAAATTAGTCTAGCTTAAATTTTACTTAATTCATCCAACTGTCTTCTCAATTGAACCCCCATAACTATTGGTTCTGTTACTGAAACAAATGGCAGGATTTTGATTTTCAAATTCATTCAGTATTGAAGACCTCGTACGTACATTTGTACTTAAGACGTAAGTTATCTTTAGTTTACATTCTGGTTGTTATACGTGTAATTACCTACATATTCCCCTGCCCCATTTTACAACTTTACCAACTGGAACACACCAAATTATTAGGGCTTGCTGTTAAGGGTTAATATGGAGTTCTCTTTATCTGAAAAGACACGTTGGGAAAAAAAATTAATTCTTTAAAAAATACTTTGTATTGTAAATGTTTTATAGATAAAGACATTTGGTAACATAAAATCCATTAAGAAACTTGAAACAAGATGTACCTTCACTTGGTTATATTTCTTGTTGATAGCCAGCAGAGACAGGTTCTGGTTACTCATGGAGTTGAAGTGGAAACTGGTGACAAACTGGTTGAGATTAAAGATCTACAGAGGTACATGCCCCAGCTGCTGTACATGTTCAAGAAAACGGATGCTACTCCCAAAGATCTGGAAAGTTCTGAACAACCACCTTTAAAGAAAGCGTGTACCGAGACTGAAACAGATTCTGTAATAATGTGTAGTAATTGTTGATATTTACCTAATTTTATTTTCATTCATTGCTTGTGATTTCATCAGAGTCCGAAGTTTATTTTCATCCTGCTCGTTAAACAATTAGAGTAATTTTTTTTCTGTTTGCTTAAGTTACAACACTACCTTTAAGATTTGTTAATAAATTTTCATCCTGCTCGTTAAACAATTAGAGTAATTTTTTTCTGTTTGCTTAAGTTACAACACTACCTTTAAGATTTGTTAATAAATCTCGTGGATAGTGTGCTGTAATAATTAAGTTGACCTCTCGTTAAAGATGGCTTAATCTTCCGCAAGGCACAGAGGAAATGATCGTTTCTTACGGCAAGAGCTTCGAAGCCATCTTCTTCCAACGCTTCAAGAGCTGCCTGTAAAAAACATCAAAAATCCATGTTTATGTTGGTGTACAACAAGTATGACAAGCTAATGTGACAAACAAACATCAGAATATAATAAGTTGTTTAATTACAATACACACTAGATGGTTTCTCTGCGTTACATCTAGCAAGGGAAACTTTACTAAATATATAACTGGTTTGGAGAACCATCTGTGTCAAACCAAAGTAATGATATATATGAAAAGATGTTCAACTTAAACACTGGTGAATAGTAGGTTTGAAAAATTTAATGGACTGTAACTTCCATTTAAAGAAAAAGGAAACAACATTTCAACTTCTATACAGAGACTTTCTTCACGTAACACCTTATAAAGGGAAGTGCAGTCATGTGTGGGTGATTGGCTGGTGTTGTCATTTTCTTATCTGAAAAGTTCGTTGAGGTTGCGTAAACTGTTGTCTCCGTTGAGTTTAGGTTGGTGTAGATTTGATTTTTCTTTCCAGTGGTGAGTTTTATCTAAAATTCTGTGTTGATCCCATTTTATGATATTTCCTGTTTTGTAATTATGTTCAACCGAGGGAAGTTTTTCTGGATGTGTTTAATGTAGTTGCATTTTTATGTTATTTTTTATCTTTGTTCTATCATCCAACTAATTTCTCTAATGTAAATGTTTCTGCTTGAGCGTGGTACTTTGTAGATGTGTTCTTTCAACTTAAGTTTTGTTGGTTGGTTTAATTTAGTACCACCTTAAAATGAACTTTAACTTTTCCGGTATATCCTTTGCTAAACTTGGGAATGTATGATAAATAAATGATCAAGTTCGACATGGTCTTGTTGTGAATATTACGTGTCTTGTAAATCCATACCATGAAGTCTACGTGAGGGTTTCTCAAACTTTGCTCCATGGGAAAATTTTCTGTAGTGTCGTCAGAGTAAAGAAGCTGGCCAGGTATTGACTATTTCATTTATGGGCAGAGCCTAATTGATGACTCGCTGTAAGTTAGCCACTAGTGATAGTGGAGTGCAGCTGCACGTTACACAAGAATCCAGATCTTCGGCATCACTCCCAATATCAAACGAACAACAACACTCTTCCCATTTAAAAAAAACAAAACAAATTTGAAACTGTTTAAAGACTTTGTGTTATGAAGTTAAGACTTAAGTGCTTTTTGAATAAAAAACCTGTAATTATAATCAATGTATTAATAGAAAATAAAGGTCTATAAAGTTCCTTGTGTCTTAGTTACCTATTATATAAAGGTGATAAATTTTTTTGTGATGTAACGTTTTAACATAAAAATGTTTCTGAAGGGTTTCTGTCAAGTTTTAGAGATCAAAAGTGTTACGTGGCTGAAAAAGTTTGGAAATGGTGCTCTACATTGAAAATTACGTGTCTTGTAAGCCTCCACTTTGAAGACTAAGGATCTTGTAAGCCTCTACTTTGAAGACTACGTGTCTTGTAATCCTCCACTTTGAAGACTAAGGGTCTTGTAAACCTCTACTTTGAAGACTACGTGTCTTGTAATCCTCCACTTT